TTTAAAGCCAAGTGGAACAACAGTAAGCATTGAGTCTATAAGATAGCATCAAAAAGAGACTAGTGTTAAAAGCATCTGGGAGTGCATGATCTGAACAGCAGTGACTGACTACTGATTACTACCAGTTGCAGACAGACTTTAGTGTGCAGAATCTTGCTAGGCCACCTATGCCTAAGTGACCACAGCAATTAATCCAAATAAGGCTGAGACTGCTAGCAGTGATACTAACCAGCACAGCCAAATCCAGAGTATACCCTGAACACCTGCTGGACACTCTATTATGTTTGTGTCCAAAAAAAACTTAGTGTGGGAAGCTGGGGAGTAAGGGAGGCTTGCCTGAAACCTGAATATTAGAAAGAGAACAGAAGCCAAGTTACAGTTCAATAGCAAATACACAAGTTTAAGTGATTTAAAATGAAATCTTTTACAGTTGTAAGAACATACTATGATATCATTGTAACTCATTGATAGTGATATATTTGTAGATTATCTCTAACTTGATATTTTTCATTGGGTTACTTAATAAACTTCTAAACCTCTTAAATCTGTGGCATCTGAATCCTCTGATCTACAGCAAAAAGCAGCTCCCTGAACTAGCAGCTTCACACATAATGTGTGGATTGGCAGGCAAACACGTTTCAGTACAACACTATGAAGGTTTATCTGTGTAGATGCCTAGCCTCTAGCAATCACAAAGAAAGTAGAGGTGCAGTTTTTACTGGGTATAGGCCTGCTACTAAATGGGGTTTCCTTTATCACTTACTCTAACATGAGAAATCTCAACTTTAACAATTTGGCAGAACCAACCTTGGGATTAACCCATAGAGTCAGACACCAGAAAAGGAATAACCAATATCTCTTCTAAGTCCCTAAACAGTAAGTGTAAGGGAGTTAACAGTCCTGTACTTCAGAAACAAACAAAAAAAGGAGCATGAAAAGATTCTTATCCCATAATCATAAGGAAGATGGAATCATCAACAATTTTAGGAATGAAACACATACAGCACGAAACTATAAACAAGTTTTCATTGTTTTTTTGTCTGCACAAACTGCTTTGGAGTCAGGCAGCAGTTGAGAAGTGAAGGTTGCTTATAGCCTCGGAAAATGGCAGTTTTGGTAACTGGAGTTAGTTCTGGAGACTGTAACATCATTTCTGTACAGTAGCCATGCTCTGCTGTGGATTTCCAAAACTACATTTTCTGACTGGCCTGACCCCTATCTAGCATTTCCATGTTCAAGTCACCTTTTCAGAGAAGTATCTACTTCACTATAAAGATTGCTGAAACACACAGCTGGTTAAGGTAGCTCTAGAAGAAAAGCTGTGTTGCAAATGCTTGTACTCATGAGGCCTCCTAGATTCTTACTTTTATTGCGACATTTCATGACTGCAAATTTCCTAAAAAGTATATACAGCACAATAGCTCAGTTCAGTTGAAGAGGACTACAAAGATAACCTAGTCCAACTTCCTGACCTCTTTTGGGCTAAGCAGAAACTTAAAGCCTATCACTGAAGGCACTGTTCAAACATCTCAATGCTGACAGGTACGGGGCAACTAACACCTCTCTAGGAAGCTTGTTCCTGAGTTTGATGACCCTCAAAATAAAGAAATGTTTCCCAATGTTCAGTCTGAACCTCGCTAGTACATCCTGCCATTGGTACCCAGGAGCAAAGCCCAGCAGCTCCCTCCATTTTCCCTCCTCAGAGAGCTGCAGAGAGCAGTGAGCTCACTTCACAGCCTCCTCCAGAGCTGACAAACCCAGTATCCTCAGCCTCTCCTCATAGAACACGCTTTCAGTTTTGCTGCCATCCTCCAGTTGCTTTCAGGAACCTTAACATCCTTTTAATATTATGGAACCTAGAACTGCACATAATATTCAAGGTGAGGCCACGTCAGTACTAAATACTGCAGGGGAATCACCTCTTTCGACTGATTATACTGTGCTTAATGCACGTCACAACTCTGTCTCCTTGGCTGCCAGGACACACCGCTGGCTCATGGTGGCACCAGCATCCCCACACCCTCTCAGCTGAACTGCTCCAGCCACCTGTCTCCCATGTGAACCCATGTCTGGCATTGCTCTATCCTAGGTGCAACACTTTGCTGCACATTCAAGCTCATCCATTCTCTAACCCATAGGTGTCCGACATTTTGGCTTGCCTGGGTCACAGTGAATGAAGAGCAATTATCTTGAGCCTCATATAAAATACTTAATGCAGTTCATGTATATAACTAACTTTTTTTTTTTTTTTTAAATTAAAACCATAACACTAGTGGGATAATTTGTCCTCACTTTTTGTGAAACTGCTGCATAAATGCCTGATTCGAGAAGTGGATGCAATTATTAGTAACTTATCAAAGCTTTCATTAGTGATTTGTAAATGAAATTTTACTCTTCTTGTACTTCATCCTTGAAAACACTTGCTCACAAATGTATGTACTGTCAAAAAGCAATGACATAAGATGGGACACCGAAACATGGGATATTTTTCTCTGGTAAGACAGATCCTATAAAAATCTGCAAAGAGATATGATCTTGCAGTTGAATATTCAATTGCAACATTTGAAAATTTGCAGGTAATGCATTTACATCAACTGCAAATGGAGTTGCAAACATACAGAAAAAAAAAGCTATTTTTTTCAGTCACCTTGAAGCCTATTCTGAATTTTTTTTACCAAAATGGAAAGCATGGATGCATATTCTTCACTGTTCACAGGACTGTGTTTAGCCAGTATATTAAAATGCATTAAATTATTTGCCGTAACTTGAGTTAACAGCATGCTGTGCTCCCCCACCTTTGTGCTAATTTCAACCAAAACAGTGCTAATAACACACCTGAGAGGGAAGTGTTCTCAGAGCCATACCAGGCCTCAGTGGGGAAGAGCCACTGCCATGTCAGCACAGGGCAGATGGTGGGCTGTGGGATCTAGGGGGATGTCTGATCTAGGGGATGGGACCCATTACTGGGATGAAGGACATGAGCATTTGAGGATTGCCCAGGACTTAATAACAGGATGCTTAGAAGGAAGAAGCAGAGGTGCTTAGCTGACCTGGGGAAGATGAGTGTGCAAAACTGAGAGATAAGGAGATATAAAGGACTGGTCATTTAAATAGCACGCTAGCCAGCACAACTGCCTGGTTTAGTCTTGTCCAATCCCATAAAATTTCTTGCTAACACATTCCTCTCTGTTCTGTCTGTATGTACACGTACAGGGCTCTAAGTGCTAACGTAGTCAAGAGTGCCACTGTGCACAGAGAGCAACTAACTCAATGATCACCAGCAATAAACAAACAGAATAATCTGATGAGTAGGCAAAGAGGCTTGGGAGCAAAATGGTTCTGAGTGGGGCTCTAAGGGCAATTCTGGATATAAGAACACTACCATGGCTCTAGGGTCAAGAGCTATGGGAGTAGGGGAGTCTGAGTCAGATGTATGATTGTGTATCTCTACAGGTGAGATTGCAGAAGGGCTAGGAAGTAGAGGCCTGGCCTTCGACTGCATGCATCAGCCCATACCAGAAACTGGCCCAGGGCTCTAAGCCTCAGAGGCTTTTATTTCCAGGTTCAGAAACAACAGACACCTACTGGGCAAACATGGTTCAGCCCAGTTGCTGGAGGACTCCACCTTGCACAGAGACATGTTCTAATCAGAAATCTCCGTTGTGCTCAGCCAGAGAGAGCAGCAGCTGAGCTCTTAACCACAGGGCAGTGATGCTGCCTTCATAAGAGTACCCTCACCTGCTGGTCTTTAAGCTCTGGGACTGGCTATGGGGGTATACCCACATGCTCTGCATGCATGTGCCTGACAGGAATGCCTCTCCAGCCTGATGCCAAGGGGAGCAACAGCAATCTTGCCTCTCAGGAGTTTGGACATATGCTTAGATATATCAGGACCTGTTCTCTCTTAACAGAAATAGTTCCAAAATATGCCACACTTTTCCAAGTGCTTTTGAAACTATGTAAGTAGGTGAGAAAAACTGTTAACAGCATATGCATCAATTTACTACCTGAATGCACTGCTCATTTACTCCTAATTCATTAACAAACAGTCTCAATTAAAAAAAAAAAAAAAAAACTGAGTCCAGCTGTTGTAACCAAGTGATGCCTCAAGGATACAGCTATCATACACAGCTTACCAGATCTCATTCACAAAAGAACTTCTCTCCTTGAAAAAACACTGTTTCAGAGAAGTTTTAGTTTGCTATTCAATTAATAAAATGCCTCAAGTACACAAAGAAAATGAAGTTATCTGTATATATTTAAGACTTCTAGCTTGACAGCATTAAACACCTCAGTCATGCCCCAAAGGTCTAAAACCATAAACAAAAACTGTCCAGAAGCACATAAAACACTAACAGACTGTCAAGAATATGTAAAATAGTTTTAGTATCATGAAAACAACAACAACTTGCTGTAAGGTTGTCTGTAGTGAAGATTCAACTTGCTAGTTAAAAAAGCCATGCAAGGAAAAAACACTGTCAAGTCTTGTTTTATAATTATCTTACAATAAGAAACAAAAAATTCCACTATTACTGATATACACGAACTTGACATAACAGCTTCCCAAATTTGTACGAAATACAAAAATCAAGAAACACAAACAGCACAGGATCTAGCATCAATACACGAGTATTTCACAACACACAAAACAGTCTGAAAAAAAACTAGATGATGGTTAACACCCAAACATTACCAAATTGTCACTGTAATATTATGGTAATTTACAAGGAAGCAATTTCCCTCTCAATAAGCAACACTTTTCAGACTATTCCATACAGAAACAATTTTGGAAGGATGAACAAGTACACCAATTAAGTACTCTGTGGGAGAAGGTGTCCAACAATCACATCTGACAGCTGTTAAGGGAGCTCCAAAAACTGAAGGAACCTCATTACTGGTGACTTCTACATCATACTATTTTTATTTACAGTTTTGAAATCTTAATGATGATTTAAACTCACTAGTGAAGAGTGTCACAGCTCATCACAAAACAGGTGAGTAACAGCTTGATAATTCAGTTTCACTTTTTGAAATACAAAGACCACAAACAGCACGTAGTGAATTACAAGCCATGTGATGAATCCATGCTAAACAAAAATCGTATCTAACAGAAGACACCTCCAGCTAGAGCACACACAGTCAATACTGCTTTCCAAAAGTAATACACAGGAATCATTATCTATTTATTACAGAAATCCTACTTTTACTAATTTCCCCCCAAAAAAGAGTTATGAAAAAGGCATACAAAAAGTTTGAGGCACAGTCAACTAGCAGGAACTTAAGCACATAAGTGACTCTGTAGTGTAGGGAGGGAATGAGGTGATGCTGGAAGGCAAAACCAAACAGACATGCAACGCTGCTACATACTCCTACCTGTGAAAAAACTTCACTGTTACAGCCAGTTTAATAACTACAAGTAAGTAGGAAGCTCTACAACGTGCAGATGCAGCGGGTGTCCAACCTTTTATCTTGCCTGGGTCACAGTGTGAAAAAAAATCAACTTTCTTGTTGCATGTAAGATACATAACATAGTAAACGTAAGTAACAAAACTGCGTTTTTTATTAAACAAGAAAAAAAAAGTGGGCAACAAAATTATAAAACTAGCAGGTTGGACACATATGCTCAACAATTTTCTCACCGCGAACATGAACCCAACAGTTAAACACTTGACTAACAGCTGAACTTTCTACTACTTAGTATCTCATTTTACCAAAAGAAAACAGACTCCACATACAATCCATCTTGCAATCATTCAGTGAACTGTTCAATATGCGGAGACTTCACAATCCAGGATCCATAACCATGTTGCTCTAAGTAGCTGTGCAGCAACTTTTTAGCTTCCTGATACAAATTAGACTTGACCTGGAAGAGAAAAGGTAGGATCTTGAAAGATCTCAAGTATAATGGTTACAGTAATCTGCATTCTTCAATGCTATTATATAATATGCATAAGAACAAGCCCTGCTGAAAGCAAAGCCTATACATTTTACAGTTGTGTTCATTGCTGACAGGATGGAAAACGTCCTAGAATCGAAAAACATGCTATTTTTGTACATTCAGTCATTCACTGGAACGGGAGAACTCCTCTGTTAAATACAACATGCATGTTTTGTGACATCTCTTCAGACCCAATAATATCTTTAAGACAGAAAACAAGTCAATCCTATGTCAATCAATATGTCGCCCAATGCAACTCTAAGTATATGTGAACATGCAGTCAATTAACAAGCCGTTCTGCTTTAAAGTAGTTTTTAAAAAATCTTTATTAGAAAAAAAACAGCACATGTGCAAAAAAACCACTTGCAGAATATTCTGAAAAGGAAAAAAAAAAAAAGAAAAAAAAGCTTTCAAAAAGTTCAATATGAAATTTTCAATTCTCCCACAAAAATACTTCATGGTAGAAAAATTATCTATGTATGAATTGAATATAAAGCTGTGATTAAAAAAAAAAAAAAAGAATTTTCCTGCATGAAACTAGCCTTACTGTGAGAAAAATGTTTAGTCTTTAGCCAAAGTACAGAAGATTTTAATAGGAAGTGTGTCAAGACTGATCCAGTGGACTGATTTTACTTGAAAACAGCAATTTCAGAGATGCCCAGGTAAAAATTACAAGGTAATAATGGAATCCGCCTGCTCACGCAAATCTAGAAAGCAATACAGAAAGTCACTGCAGCCAATTGAACTGGTTTTGAGAGCAGCCATCAAGAGACCTCCTTTATTTCTTCTCCCTTTGCAGCTTACCTTAGCTTCATGGTACGTAGCAACCTGAAGCAGGTCAGTTCGTTTTGCTCGCCCAGCCAGGCATTTGAAACGACTCAGCATTGCTGCCTTACAAAGTCGGCTTGCCATGGAAGAGCCACTTTTAAACGGCGAACTATAGGTAAAATAACAAAGAGCACAGTAAATCTCAGTAAGAAATACACTACAGGTATATTGCCTTAATCATTACATGGTGGGTTTTTTTGCCCCAGCGCTTTGTGAATTTGATCACGTGATGTTGCTTCTGCTCTGAATGAGCAGAGCTGATACAAGTCAGCAGCTGAGAGATCTATAAAATAAGATGACCAAGAAGAGTTTTCAAACTGGAACTCATCTGAACTCTTTGGTAGTATTTTGAAAAGTAAAGCAATCACTAGAACATGTAATATATTATTTCACATTTTGGTACGTCACTGAAAGATCTCTAAAACTGTGTCTAAATACAGGATGCATACATTTAGTACAAGAAAGAATCCCTCTCATTTGAATTATACTGTGGCCTTTACATGTAACTTAAAAGCTCAATATTCAAATGCACACAACAGGCTAAGCATTTTCAATGTAAGGAATAAAGAAAAAAATCTGACCTTTCAGTGACTTTTCCCTTTAGCCCATCCACAACTTCCAGCTGCACATCTGACAACATCCAATTCAAACTGAGAGACCTCTGTTTCACATCCACTTGAATTGGTTGTACGGTGTTCACCAAGTAAGTAAACGACCTGTTGACCACGTAAAGCACTGGAAGCTTTGCTGTGAGCGCATCGTCAATACGTTGTCTTATAGCTATTTCTAACCCCTTCAAACTCCTGCAATTTCCATTTCCTAGTACAAAAAAAGCCAGTCACGTGTAATTACATCAACAAACAAAAAATAAATCAATAAAACAGCCAAGAACCCATCTGTTTCCATTGGTCATTGGAACATTCATTTTTTTCCTCAAAAGATTTCACTTGAAAAATCAGTTCCAGTATTTTTGTTTTGCAAAGCTTTTTTTCTCTTCTTTCAGAAGCGCCGTGATTTTCATTGGACATCTCCTTTCCAAAGTGGTAACCATTCTGTAACTTTTCACCAGGACACCATGAAAACAGAACTTCGATGTTCTAGATTAGTAAACAGCCCAGTGAATTTACACAACGTTTGTTCATACTGAAACATATCTTACTCAAGAAAAGTTCTCAGGCTTTTACACCAGAAACTATCAAACTGCACATTTCCATTACACACTTTCACTGACTGCTTAAATGAATTTACTTTGGTCCGTTGCTTCTCAAGGAAAAGTCATAAAATATCTACCAAATAAATACACTTTGGTCCTCAGCATCTTCAAGGAATATTCATATAATACATCACTCTTCTATTTAACATTATAGATTTATTACTATTTACTTTGAACAATGCTTAAGTGAACCTGAGGAGCTTTGTATCACTTCTTTTAAGTAAGTGCCCAAACTTCCCTATACCCATCAGGTAGCTGTTCTGTGCCACAGCTTCAATGTCTGGGGAGCTCAGAGACTTCTGTACCAAGCCTCATAATACAAGTGCACAGAGATTAAAATCTTGAAGATAATACTTGCTAATTCCATCACACAAAGAAACATGTACTTGACAGCAGCACTGTCTTTTTAAATGCTACAAAACCCCGACAACTCATTATCACCTTGATAATTTCTGTTCCACAACAGGACATGTATTTACAATGACCAATAGAAACTAGTGAAAAACAAATGTTTAAAAAAAAAAAAAAAAAAGGAAAAAAAAACCCAACAGACTCTCTCACAGAGCTGTTAAGCTCCCCTGGGGCAAAACTGAGCATTTTGGTGTGTTTAGTTGTATTAGAAAAGCTCTTCCACCACTGCTCATTTCTACCATTAGCCAAATACACCATCACCCTGAAGTCACCATATCTGACCAAACAGTTAACACAGCATTCATCAGGTATGTGATACTTTTTCAGTATCTAACATTTTATCCATTATAAAACAATAGCTAAATAAAAACACAATGACAAAAGAATGAGACAGAGTTTTACATTAGGGCAACTCCAAAGCAAGTGAAAACAAAACATTCTGCAGTTCTTTGGAAAACAAACAACTTCATTCAGTTCACTATTTTAATTTCATTATAAAATATAATCAAACTTGAAGATGAAAACATGGAAAAAAGACTGAAGTTTATTAAGCTTACCTACAAGAATAGTGTTGATATACACTGGTTCAATGAAGTAACTCAGCAGCGCTCCCTGAACACCAACCACTTCCCATTTTGTTAACTTGTCACTAGCTGACATACTGATTACTCTCACAGTTTTAGAAGGACAAGAAAGAGAAAGATAAACTTTGCCTTCTATAGCAACATGGAGACACAGCTCTTCAGCAGCTTGGCAAGCAGTCAGAGAATGTGGATTAAGACATCTAAAGTAAGACAGAAAAAGAAATCTCAGTGAGGAAGTACTCGAAAATTATTATAAAGTGCTGTTTCTCCACACACAGCCAATCACTTCTGAATAAGTAACTTCCTTCTAAAAACCTATCCTTAAATTAACTCACTTGATACATAAGCCAATCTGCTGTATCAGAAGAAAGCATTTTCCAGAGTTTGTCTCTTTGACCAGACCAGACAAAAAGAGAAAAAAATAACACAGAATACGTGATCAATCAATCACTACAAAGTAGCTGGCAAACTGCATCCAGATTCATTAATTAGTACTTCTAAGAACAGGTTATGATACAGAAAAAGTAATACCTAAAATCTTCAGCAATTCTAGTGGGAGAAGCTCCCCCAGTCATCACAACTGGGGGTGAACTGGCTGCGACTTCCAGCCTGCAAATTGTTTTCTGAACACCAAAACACAGTATGGAAGAAGTGAGCTGTCTTGCACGTATGAAGAAGTTTGACTGTATAAGTTTGAAGGAGGTAAACCACCATACTAGTGCTAGAGACAACAAAATAATACTGCTCAGAACAACTTTGTTAAGTCATTGACTGCTTCAGTTAAATCTCAAAACTATTAAAATTTCAAGAATGTAACAAAAGTTAGAAAGAATGGAGGCAAGCACAGGAGCCTATGTGCCTCATCAAGTGTGCTCATTACCCCTTCCCACCCCCCCACAAAGCAGAACAACTTTGTGCACTTCCCATAGCATACACAATTCAAGACTACAGCCCAGCCCTGTGGTGCAAAGGACGACATTAAGCCACCACATCTGCTTTCTCAATGTGGAAATTAACACCATCTCAGAGTAGAGGTCAATAGATAATCAGATAATCTGTAATAAAGTAACAATCTGAAATCACAACCTACATACAAGTTTTGTGTACCAACACGTTATGCTGACCACAACCACTGTGTACACTAACGCTTTCAAAACACAAAAAAATTCAGCAGAGGCTTCCCCACTATTTGTAAACATGTAACAACGGGTATTTTTCACACTCATGGCGGTCACTGAAACTAATCAATTTTCCATTACAATACCTCTGAGAATACCTGGGTACTTACAACTGTGTTTTTATCTGAGCAGATCCTTTTGGCAGCTGATTCATATAGAGATAGATATTTATATTCCGCTTTAGGGTAAGCAGCTTCGAGTCAGGTGCTGTGCAAAACAGGGATTGCTCTCTGTGTGCTGGATTTTCATTATAGAACAGCAAAAGATGTCGATAAAAATATCTAAAATGAAGCGGTGACAACAGGCATGAGAGATACTAAATTGTTTAAAAATACGTGAACATTCACATTTCATTTACATTGACTCAAAAATAATCTCAAAGGGACACACTAAATAAATGCAAATGTATTTGTATTTACTCTCAGAGAAGTAAAACTAAGAACTGGCTACAAAAGTAGTGGTAACAACTTGTACACAGAATCTCACCGGAGAAGAGAACGTCGTGCAGTAACGATGGCATGGCTGTCGTGCACCACTCTTCCCTCAGGTGAATAATCATTGCTGTAATTACAGTCTCCTGTTCCTAGAGCTACGACTTTATGCTCTCCACCTAAAAAGAAAACATAACATGCAATAAAACACAATGGTCAGTCAGTCAAAACACAAAGTTAAACTAAACAGTAAGTACCAAAATAAATTCCAAATAACTGAGACAGAGTAGGGACTACTGGTCTATAAGGCCTTACTGGTGCAACTGCAAGAACCTTGGTTTCCTTTAACCATGGGGCAATTCACTCTGCTCCTGGCCTGATGTCTGCAGATGGGTCTCACCTGTCTCAAACAGGGAAACAAATCCTAGCCCAGGAGCTGGCAGGGCTTGTTGAGAAAGCTTTAAATGAGATACGAAGGGGAGAGTGGATAAAACCAGACTTGCCAGAGATGAGCCTAGGGGAACAACGTAGGACTGGAGGGGGGGGGGGCGGGCGGGCAAGGGGCTCAGCTCAAGTGCATCTACACCAGTGCACCAACCCAGCTGGCAACCAGCCACAAGTAGTGCTCCCCAGGGGTCAGTACTGGGGCCTGTCTTGTTCAATATCTTTATAGATGACCTGGATGAGGGCACTGAGTGCACACTTGCGAAGTCTACAGATGACACCAAGCTGCCAGAAGTGTTGATGCTACCTAGGGATAGGAAGGCCCTACAGAATGATCTGGACAGACTGGACTGCTGAGCTGTGGCAAATGGGATGAAGATCAGCAAGACCAAGTGCTGGCCTGCACTTTGGCCAAAACAACTCCAGGCAACGCTACAGGTGTGGGGCAGGGCAGTAGGAAGACCATGTAGAGGAAATGGACCTGGGGGTGTTGGTCAATGCTCGGCTGAACACGAGCTAGCAGTGTGCCCAGCTGGCCAATGGCATCCTGGCTTGTATTAGAGCGTGGCCAGCAGAAGCACGGAGGTGATCATCCCTCTGTACTCAGCACTGGTGAAGCCGCACCTTGAGTACTGCTTTCAGTTTTGGGCCCATTACAAGAAAGATCCTGAGGCCCTGGAGTGTGTCCAGAGAAGGGCAACAATGATGGTGAGAGGTCTGGAGCACAACTTTTAAAAGGAGCAGCTGATGGAGCTGGGATTATTTAGACTGGAGAACAGGAGGCTCAGGCGTGACTTTATAGCTCTCTACAACTGCCTGAAAGGTTTTGCAAAGATGGGTGTTGGATGTTAGGAAATACGTCTCTGAGAGAGTCATCAATCTCTGGCACAGTCTGCCCAGGGAGGTGGTAGAATCACCATCCCCAGAGGCTTCAAGGAACATTTTGATGCTGTGCTGAGGGACAAGGTGTAGTGGGAAATACTGGTGGTGATGGTCAGTCAGATTGGATGATCTTAGAGACCTTTTCCAACCTTTGAGATTTTAGTCCAATTCCTCTTTAAGACAGCATATTGAAACACACTGAATAGTTATGATGAAGTCACCAATAAAGAGTATGACAAAGAAGAGCAGCTACTGCTTACATGCAAGGTCAGAAACACATTGAATGAAGGCTCCTAGGGAACACAGGCTAGACTGCTCAAGCCCCAGAATCCCGTATCAAAACCGACTTGCCTTTCTCAATGATGAAGGCAGCCAGTGAACTGCCACAGCTTTGGTACTCAGGATTTTCAGCAGTCAGGCTGTTAAACACTCCTTCAACTGTCTGCGAAAATTTCTGATATATATGGTGTCGTCCTTCTAAACAGAACAATAAAAGCCAGCAAGACACAAATGTGCAGAGGGAAAAACAGACAGAATCAAGCACTGAGCAGATAATAAATTTACAGACATGGTAAAAGCACTAGCACCACTAGTGCCTCTGACAATTACAAGGATGGATGTGAATAAACAAAGACAAGAATACTGCTAACACTTCATGGCTTTACTATTCAAGGTAAAGTAGGAACACAGATAAAGTTTATCAGACATGATAGTTCAAAGAAGGACAGCAAGGCTTTATCTATTCCTATCTCTGATTCAAGATTTTAGTTGAAGAAATTCACTTGAGTTGTGTCTGTCAGCATTCATCCATGCGCTACTTAAGTGACCAATTCTTCCAGCATTCTTTGAAGACAACACATATAAAATAATAGAACCTTCGTACAGATCACAAAGCGTTTTAAAAGAAGCATTAAACAAAAATAAAGTATTTTCTTTATAGATTCAGATCACACAGCTAAACAAGATTACTCCTTACCAAAACTGATCCGTGAAACATCAATAGAGCTTGCTGGAGTTTTAGGCTCAACCAGAATACGGGGAGGACCTGAGGATTCAAGACAACTTCCAATAGGTGTCAACAATACAAATTTCAAAACACCAATCAAACACTATTTTCAACACATTTAACCTTCTAATTCTTTAAGAATTAGAGATTTTTTTTCTTATAAGGAGTCTTTATAAGAATAGAGTTATTTAAGCAACAATCCTTAAATAAAGGTAAACATTATGGTAACTTCATTCTTCTGCAAGTAGTAACACAAAGCCAAGGACATAATTATAAAAATTCAAACATACTCAGAACAACTTGATACTGCTGTAATCTAGCAATTAGTAAATCAAGTGCAACAGATAAATTAATTCCTTCTGCAGTTCTCCCTTCTGAGCCAAAAACCATTGCAACTCATAGTACAGAGGAGACAAAGAATTTCAAAATTAAACAACAAATAACTTCCAAAAAGGACTCAAAACTGACAGAGGTTGTAACACCAAAGCATTTCACAAAGCTACACAGGGATTTTAGGTAGAAAAGCTCTAAGCAAATCTTTTGAAGTTCTGCTCAGGTACTGCTTGAATATTTACTTGACTTTCCAGAAGCTGGTGCCACCATATACTCCAACTTCAGTAGCTCATCAAGAGCCAATTTAGCTGCATTCTGCTTAGACTCCTTCTTGTTTCTTCCTAATCCAGTCTTGTAGTAAACACCATCCAACACAGCACTAATGCCAAAATAAGGACTTACGGCGTGTCCTTTTAAGGAGAAAAAGAGAATCATGATTAGTAACACTAAAGAACGTATTCTTTTCCATAGCTTTATGCACTTAGATTGACTTCAAGCATCACTACAAGATGAAAAGATGATTGTAACAAAATACCTTTCACCTCCACAAGTATCCTGACAGTTTTCATTCGCTGTACTTCTCATAAAGCTCTCTTCCAGCTCTAACAAGTATTAACAAAACACCACGTTTTCCGAACTGCCTGGCAAAACCACCACACCAGTTCCAAGTGTCAGCAGGCATGGCAAGCAACCCATCATCATCAGCTGGTCAGACAAACAACGACTGACAGGGGCAACAAAGGCCCTCTTTAATTAAAGCAAGGCAACCTGCGACAGAACTATGCCCAGCAAGGGAAGAAACTGAATGCAACCCAATAAGTTTATTAATTATTTGCATTTCAGAGAACACATGCATTTAAAAGAAGTAATCTTATGCCTACAGAGAGCAAGATAAAATAGCTTAATAATAATAATAATAATAATAAGGGAGCAGATCGGAATACATTTACAGAGCAGAGCCTTCAATCTCTCAAATGGCTAACTTTTCCGTACTGATGAGGTACCTTGTAAAGTCAGTCTGAATTCACAGAAAATTTTGACTATGGCAACTGTGAGAAACCTCTGTAACAGCAGTAAAGACTGGGAGAAAAGAGCTTATCCCTATCCAGACCTCTCTCCTGTCACCTTTCTGAATATTTGAGAACAAGAAAAACAAAGAAGAGTTGGGACAAAAATCCCAGAAACAGACGCACGTTAAGTAATATTCATCTTAAGCAATATTAAAATAATGAGGAAAAAGCCCTATGTAATGTAACAAAGAGGCATATCTACCACATGGTACGAGAGGGATAAATATTAAAAAGGAACTATACCAGGGCAAAAAAAAAGCAACAGAAAAAAATAACATTTCAGCTCAGAAAAGGTATCAGATAACTTTCTAATATGGAACCTCCGCTTGATAGAGGGAACACTGAAACACCTGAAATGAGGAAAAAAACTGCTGTTTAGCCACAATACACAATTATTTGTAGTAAATTTTGAATGAAAGGATTAGACTCACAGAAACTGGAATACAACAGCATACTACATCTGATTCAACCTACAGCTCTTCAGCAGAATAATGGAATTCCTCATGAAAAAAATCGGGCTGGCCCTCCTCCAAATCATCAGCTGATAAATTCTAAGATAAACGAGTAAAAGTTCTGCCCACATCATGCAATCATCCACTGAGGCGAGCAGGCATTCACACTACTGCACAGAAACCTCGCACAGAATGCTATATGCAGCCCTGCTCAGAATGCAGCCCAAACTGGAATGCATGTAATAAAAGGACAACTCTTACAGAGGAATTGCAGGAATGCTCAGGTTTGCTGACTCTGCCCCCTACACAAAATAAAAAATAAAAAAAGTTCCAGGGCAGCAAACAAAAAGCTGCACTCCAAAGGAGAACATCTGCTTCTATAGGAAGAAAAAAACAACACACAAAACTGGGAACACGGCAGTCGTGAGAAAGCTAGAAGCAGATTCTGATCAAAGCACAACAGCTCCAAAAGGGCAGCAAGCAGCCACGAGAATGAAAAAGGCAATCACTTCCCAGGGAAAAAAAATGCTCATGTGAGGGGAGTGCAACCAACATTAAAAAATAAATAAGTAACTTGTGATATTGGCATCAATGCTAGCCCAAGAAATCGAAATCATCTCAAACACAACTGTATGTAAAAAAGGAAGCATTTACCTGCCACACCGGTCTCTTTAAAATCCAGCTGCATGCTGTACCTCTGTGCAAAGCAGTGCAGGGCTGACACCGGGTGAACTGCGCCCTTCTGGTACCCCGCAACGAAGTCTGCCAGCCACGCGTCCTGCACCACTGCTGGCTCTGGGGACGGGCGGGCTGGGCGAGGCAAAGACATCGCTGCAACGAGACCGAGGAGTCAACACAAGAAAAAACGCTCTCTTCAACGGTTTGTTAGGTTAAAAGAAATGCTTTGTAGACAGCTCTCGGCGCTAGAGAAAACGCACTGACAAGGAAACTCAGCAGAGTGCCAAAGCCACACGAGTTTCCTTCAGCAGCACTAACAGCTCGTTTACACAGCCAGTCCCAAGAACGAACTGAAAGCTATACCTGGGTTTTCTCTCGTCTTCAGGGCGCTCGGTCCGTGCCGGCCCTGGGAAGGCGCGAGCCCGAGCCTTACAGCCGCGGGGCTCAGCAGCCGGGCGGGAGCCTGCACCAGCACAGCCTTCTCCTCTGCGGGCTCACAGACAGCCGACCCAGCCCTCTGCATGCTCTCACTGGTGGCGGCCATCCCCGATCAACCTGACGGAGCTCAACAGGAACTGTGCCAGATGCTGAAGATCCTGCCGACCGGGAAGCACCGGCACGTGGACCTCAACCACCACGCCGCCGCCTCCAGAGCCAGCACGGCCGGCGCTACGAGAGCTCGAGCAGCCAGCACCTCACGGCCCCTCACCGCCCGCCACGTGCCGAGGCGCGAGGAAAAAAGGCGCTCAATGGCTCGGCGCGAGGAGGGGCCTCGCTCCGCGCCCTGCGTCCCCGCGCGCAGGGCGGCGCCCACAGTGCGCAGCCGCAGCCCGCAACGGCGAGGCGGTAGGCGCTCTCGTCGACAGCGGGGTAACCGCCTTAAAGGAGACTGGATGCAAATTTACACTTAAAACACTTTTTTAATCAAAGAAGTTGAACAAAAAAAACCCTGTACAATAGTTAAATTTTATTACAAGTGTAATAAACTTAAAGATTTTTAGCACTAAGGCGATCACAGTTTCATAAGTTATATATATATATAAATTTACACAAGTCTACATTGACAACTCGATTACCAGTCACATCAACAAAGGGGCTGTGTTATGGCAAAAGAAGTTTAATAAAATTCACAGTAAATCTGCAATATTTCGAAGATGCAGGAATCATATTGCACAGAATAAACCAGTGGGTGCCGAGAAGCGACTGCCAGTGTTTGGGTGTTCCTTCACAGAATATACATTGGTCGTAACCATGCAATACTTCCAATACAGAATGGTATCAAGTACCACAGTAAACAGTTACTCACAATGTAAGTTCTAAATAGAGTAGCAAAATGCTGTTAGGTTTCTCTTTAAACCATATATAAACCTTGTAGTAAAACACTTTGATAAAAATCAAACGGAATGGTGGTTGTCACATTATCGCTTCAGTACTCCTCTTTGTCTTTTCCTTTCTTTTCCTTTTCGTCCTGTAGTGCAGTACCGAGTTTCTTTATCAGAACTGACAGAACCTTGTCCAAAGGATCCATCACCCCACGCTGCAGCCACTTGGGGATGGTAGTCCTGGCGTGGTGGAAGCCCAGTTTTTGGAGGATGTAGTCAACACCAACAGGGTCAATTTTTCTCCCAGTCCAGGATATTAATCTTAAAAAGAAAAAAAAAGAAAAAATCCAAGAAAAACAATAGTAGGTGGACTCAATCTCAGGTATAGATTGCAACTAGCTTTCTGGAACTACCTGCATTTAGCGTTAACATGCATCTCACCTTCCAGACCAGCACTAATAGCAAAAGATAAAACTATTACAGCATCCATGTAATTGATCCATAGCAGCTGAACAGTATGGAAACACTTGTGGTGTGAAGGACAGTACCCATAAATAAAATGCATAGACAAAGAGATTACTGGTAAGTCTGCTTGTTACCTGAGTGTGGGCTCCAAATGCCAAGTATTGCAGATAAATTCTCTCCAGTCAACTGTAGTGTAAGTAATGCTTTCCTCTGCTTCTCTCTCCGTGGAGCTGTCCTCAAGTACACCAGCAGAGTTTTTCTGCCCTGGACGAGAAGCCAAAATGCGAGGAGGAAAAATAGCTACAAAATGGAAAGGGGCAGAAAAAAAAAGCAACCAGTCAGTTTGAGCATCTCATCTCTTAAAAGAAATTCCAGAGCACGTTTCCAACAAGAGAAAACCATCTCGTGTTTCACCATGTTTAGTAAGAACTTCTGAATTTCTAGCAACAGTTCTGGTTTCAACAAAGTATGAATAAAACATACCATAAGGAAAACTTAAACATTAGTGGGTGGTACAGGAATGTGGAATTGTTTCCTCTGCCACCCAACCCATCCATATACAGAGTATTTCTTTCAAACTCAAACACAACAAAACATATTGCATTCCATAAGCTACATGCAAACACATACTTAGTTTTTAATTTTTTTAAATTGACAGCATATTCTGAGCAGGAGGATGGTGGGAGATTAATTACAATCCATCTTTGCCCAAGGGCGTGAGAGGAACCTGAACCCAGCTCTTCCCTGAGTTTAAATCCTAGAACACAGAAAAAGAACAGCAGCCCTTTCCACCTCCAAACAGCACAATGAATAAAATAGATACAAATATCTGAATTAGGACTGAATTTAGAAATACTTTAGGTAACAGGAGCAGAATGCCCTGAACAGCAGAGACATGGTAGTATGCTATTTGTACCATCTGTAGGCAACTGCTCTGCTTCCAGTCCTCTAGGACTTAAAGTCAGCTGAAATGGTTCCCATGCAACGCTGCACTTTTTGCTAGGTGCTAGGACACCTCTTGGCTTTAAGCTCCCCTCCCCAAAACAGAACAAGAGAATTTGGTTAACGTTAAGTTAAATTTCACTTGTCAGCAATTTAAAGAGGTAGCTATCATCTCATAGCACTAAGCCCTGATTTCAGATCTCAACAATATTTATTAGTCAAACAATTACATACTGATTGACAGTGTTACCTCAGATACCTCAGATGCTAATAGCTTACCTTTTTCTTTTTCTTTTAGATAAGCTGACACCAAGTCATGCAGAAACATGATCAGTTCAGCATCCATAGTTACACAGATATGGTCTGTAAATTCAGTTACCACACTGCATTCCACCTTTGGTTTAACGCTTGTATCTACAGTTGGATCAAAATAGCATTAATACATTTTAAGTACATATTGCATAAAAGTATACTGAATTTTAGTACAAATGATCTGTAAATTACACTGCTGTTACAGAGCAGGCATTTCCCCCTATTCCATTTGTAGTCTGCAGATAATATTTTGGAAATAGAAGCATGACATTTAGGTTCTTCTCTCCTATTTCCTTTTTCAGTACAGGCCTTTTCTAGCTTATAAACCAACTTCCTCAGAACAGCCAGTCTAGCTGAAATGTTCATTTTCATTTCTTAGCAAATAGGGGTTTTTTTTGCTTGTTTGTTTCTTTGTTTTGAAAGCAACCAGTATCAGGACTAGGTCTTCACTTCCTCGTCAGAATTCCCTCTGCATTTCATTACAAAAATGTGTCCTTTATTGCATATGTCTGCTGTAATTTCTAAAAAAAATCCTCTTATCAGCACAGTATTTTTGTATTTAACCCCTTATTTATGAGAAACAGCTTTAGATCAAGGAAAGCAAATAACAATACTATACCTTGTAATGAAGGCTCTTGAGGCTCTTGGACATGAATAGATTTAAAATCCAGCTGCATCCTTGGCAATGCAAAGATGGTTTCAGTTTCATGGTTGTAACTAGAACCACCTCTGAAACCACTTAGCAAGCTTGAGCTTTTCACAGTTGTGCTGCTCTCTGGGTTATTAGCATCAACATTTCGAAGTAAGTTTAACTCTACAAAGACAATGGAAAATACCTTAATTCAGTAACTATCAGTAAATATACTGAAAGAAAAAAAAACCTTCTAATAAAGAAGAGGGGAGGAAACATATGTCAGTACTGTAACATACAAACATTAATTTGGATGGTTAAAGATCAAGTTTTATTCATCTGATCACCTTATCACAACTTTGTTCTAACAATGAATTTTCAGTTAACTGAAATACAGACAATGGATTCAAAGCATGCCATCTGTGTTAGAAAATAAGACAGGACTTACCCTGAAAATAAACGTTTCTTATGGATGCAAGTGGCACCTAAATTCACTGAGGCAGCACTGATATAAAAACCACTATCAACCAGGTATCCAACTTTGTCATGATACTTTCACTATAGCATACATGCAACATTAGCTATTTTGGCTATTTTTTCAGTTATTAAAATTTGTGACGACAAAAAGTTAAGAAAGGTTATTACTTCACTCTAAAACTATTGCTCATATTCTTTAACCAGCCCTCCAGAAAAACCAAACAATCAAAAGTCAGTGTTGATACACTTAAATAGTCTGGATGTAGCCAAACAGGGCTGTGTAAAAACAATTAACAACATACTTTCAATAATTTCAAAGTATTTTTTAAGAAACTATAAACTGGTCATTTCTGACTGTACAGCATAATCGGTTATTCCACACTTTGCTTTAACAGTCTGTGGAAGAAACAGCTTCCATTCAAGCTCTTTTCCCCTTAGCTCACTTGAAATTTAACACAATCTGCACTGACTGACAAGCAGGCCATTCCCAAAATGTAATTGATATGAATCTTACCTTCATTCCTTGTGGCTGTAACATAATTGAACCACTCCTTCACACTGGCAACTCCATGGGGGGGGTTTTCATGGCGGCGCCTTGTTATTTTTGTGATAGTTGCCATGGGGCTTTCGAGTGCTCCACATGGTTTGGTGACCATAGTGTTATGGCCTAAATGAAAGTCTAGGGTTTGCACGATGTATGTAGAATGTTCACTAGTGCCTGCATTGAAGGTGTGATGGATACAGAGCGAGAGGGAAAAGAGAAATGGAAAAAAAACAAACACCAACTTAGTAAGGGTGGTGGGATTTTTCCTCTCCCTTGCACAGGTATCTACCAGAGATAATTACTAACCCAGTAGCATCAAAAATCTGTGCTATGCTTACAAACAACAAAAAGATTTAAATCCTCAGTATTTACAGATAGTAAAAACTTCCCAACACGAAGACAAATAAATAGTAAGATATTCAGAATTCATTATGTAGAAATGAAAGGCTGCATCAATGCAGACATGCAATTAATAAGACAATCAGTCCCCTTCCTAGACACACTATCAGGAACATATCTAATACACTTCAATTATGTAATAGTATACTTTTTTTTTAATATGCTTTTTTGGATTTATTCTGACATGTAAATATATTCTTCAAAAGTTCATTTAAAAGATGTTAAGAGATGAGGAAATGGTTTAAATTACCATCTTCCCAAACTTTCTGTGCTTCTGTCCAAAATGCAATATTGGGTTCTTCAAGGTGAAATAAGGCCCAAGATTTTGAACGGAAATTAGGCCCATGGAAACAAGCCAGCGTCATATGGTTTCCATGCAAGCTCATGGACCCTCCAAACTGCATTCCATCTTCTGGCAATGGCATCTGAAATAAGGATATATGGCATCCAGACACCACCTTCAGAACTCCTGGCCAATGACGATGATGGGCTGCATCCAATACTAGAAATGAAAAATCCAATAACAAAAACAA